CATAGATTCTATCACAAAAAATAGAAGTACTTTCATCTGGATCCCTTAGCCCTAAGGCTATATGCAGGGTCCGTGTGGTCTCTAAAAAGACCAAAACTATTGTTGAACCGTCAAAGAAGGCCCTCCCTTTTGATCTACATGGCTCGGATAGCCCCTCCTCTGACGGAGTGGGCTCGGACTCTACTAGGCTTGTCAAACGAGTCGAAGATTTCACAACTACATCAAAGAGACGTGTATCGGGTCAAAAGAGGCCCAGTGCGGTGACAAGCTCCATTAACATAGATGATATCACTACAAAAGCCTTGAGGCAGGCCAAGAAGAATGTTGCTCGATGGAGGAGAAGATCACTGCAACGAGCCTATCTCCGAGAGAGTCGATCTCTCAATCAACACGAACTCCGTGTTTGTGGACCTCAACTTGAGCGCTGTATTGATGAGCCCAAGTATGAGCCACGAATAATCAATTTAAAACATAGCCCTCAAGGGCACATTTCAAAGGCATAATGCAGTCCTTTGGGATGCGTTTCAACACCCAAATGCAGTTCTCAAGAATGTGTTTCAATTTCAAAATGTAATCCTCAGGAAAGCATTTCTAAAATAGAACGCAACGCTTAGGAATGCGATCAAGATCCGAAACACAGATCTCGGGAATGCATTCAGGATCCAAAACATAGACATCAGGGCTACATTAACTAACAAAAATGCAGCCAACAAGAGTGCGTTTCACCAACAAAACATAGACTTCGGTCTAACGTTTGGCAAACAGAACATGACCCTCGTGTTCTTGCTTCAGAATGTGACATGATCCATCGTGTAAAAATAGATCAACATGGATTCAAGGTTTATGTTCAACAAGAACCAGTCCCTCCCACTGATGGGCAAGGGGTTCCATATCTAACCTCGCGTTCTGTGAAAGGATGTCCCCAGGTATATGACTTAAGGGAGTTTCTTTCGATAGAAAGACTAGTGAAACAAGAAGCCCACTCATGTCAATATGAGCGGCTTATTTCTACGGTCTTCTCAGAATGTCAGTGTTGCGCATCTATACCTCGGTGATTGATATTCGACCGGTTGACAAACGTCGCCCGACCTGCCAAGCAACGACGTCACCATAAGAAGAAAGCTTTAGAAATCGAATATCCCGAGGTCACTATCAATGTGATCAGTAGAGGAAAAGCCTCAGCTATTAGCTCTAATGATTTTGAGACTAGCTGCTCGCTAACCGTCAAAGAAATTTGTGATGAGTTCGAAGGCATATACCGACACACTCGCACTCGGACGGGAGCTATTCCTCCTGTTAATTATAAACAACTAGCTAGAAGAACAACTTCTGATGAGGAACACTCGGCCATCGCAGAATCTCAGTCCTCGAGTTCTTTTGTGGCACATGTGAATCCTGTTTACGTGACAGAAAGCTCAGATGACCTAGTAAGGAGGGTCGATGAACACCACGCCATACTTCAGGCTCAGCAAGAGACTCTTAATCAACTGTGAGATCTGATGACTTAGCTTGTTGCAAAAAAGGTCCAAAAAGCTGAATCCTCTTGAAAGACGAAATCGTAAAAAGGGAAGGATAAAGTGAATGTGAATTCGGACCATGAAGCTCATAGTATAAAATCAACCTCTGAAGAAGAGAAAGAGGGTGAAAATGAGCATAATTCTCAGTCGGCCAAGATGGAGGAATTGGAAGTTTGTCTCAACGCAATTGCTAATAGGAACGAGCTCTAAGATGGTGGAGTAGTGTGGCCTTATCCCACAGAATGGGACACAGCTTCCTATCCTCCAAAATTCAAGGCCCTATCTCTACAGGCTTTTAATGGCACCGGATCGTCGAACCAACACATCTATTATTTTCAGTCACAAATTGGAGATGTGGTAGCAAATGATGCCATATTGACACGTTTATTCATCGGTACCCTTAAGGGGGTTGCCTTTGAATGGTTCATAAGGTTGCTTGCTGGGTCTATTAAAAAACGAGTAGATCTAGAAAGGCTTTTCTTAGCCAGGTTTTTTGAGGATGATTCAGAGGTCTCTATCCCAACCCTACTCACCACTAAATAGAGGAAGGGAGAATCTATAAAGACCTTTGTGGAGAGGTTCCGAAGCATGGCCCTACGATGTCCATCATGTATGACACAATCTACCTTGGTAGAAACTTACAGGCACCACTTGCAGACCCATCTCCTGGCTCAAATAGGAGTAGTAGAATATCACTCCTAGAAACAGTTGGTCTCACAGGGTGAACAAGAAGAAGAAATTGTTGCCCGAGTCAAAGCTGAAGAAGCTAATAAGACAAAGCTACAAGCACAACACAACCAAGGTAATGCTCCTAGGTTCAAGGGAAAGGAGAATCTGGCCGTTGATACCAGCACTCGAGCACCACCTGCGAAGCAGAGCAAGGCATCGAATCAATAGAGGGCGCCCAAGCAGTACTCCTTCAAGGAGGAACATGTGGACACCCTATTCCAGCTACTTTGGAAAAACAACAAGCTGAAACTTCCCAAAGTAAAGAAACCTGAAGAAGCAGGGAAAGTAGATGATCCTAACTACTGTCGATATCACAGAATGCTAGAACATCCAACAAAGAGATGTTATATCTTTAAGGATATTCTGCAACACCTGGTCAATGCTAATGTACTCAAGCTAAATCCAGAATAGAAGACAGTGTTCACCAATTTTATATCGGTACAGTTCAGAGATTTTTCTCCTGTAGTAGTAGCGGATGGTGTTGTCTCCATCCCTAAGGGAGAAATACATATGAATAATGCTGACCCACATGGTCAGAAAGATAAATTATTGGTACCCCTCACTACTCGAAAAGGAGAAATCATGTGGGTCCATCCTGACTTAATTGAAGACCAACAGTGGACAAGTGCATCAATGAAGAAGAAGAGAGGTAAGACAAAGTCATCTAATATGATTAGCCCCTCTATAAATAAGGATGATGATCATCTCAAACCTCTCATGGACTCGAAAGAAGAGTGGATCGTTCTTGCGGCAGACCAATGAGATAACCTTGGCACCCGATCATGGAAAACTTAGTTGAAAAACTATAGCCAAGATGCTCATGGAGCAGAAGAACGAGCCCAGGAGACTGGGGGTTCTGCTCCTAAAGCTCGTTCTTCTGCTCCTAAGAAGACAACTGATAAAGGGAAATAGAAAGAGCTTCGCTTTAGCTAGAATCTTCTTCAACAGAAAATTGGAGGATCGAACACTCCCTTCAGATTCAACGTCTTGGCGCAATTGGCTAACATCCCTACGAGGATCACCGTGTACGAGCTCCTATGATTGTCCAATATCACAATAGAAGCTCTAATTGAAGCTTTAACAGACATGGATAACTTTATTACTCAAGTTGCTCCAGTTCTAGAAACTTCTAAGGGACAATCTTGTGTAAAGTGTCTACAAGCCGGAAGAAGTCTACCATGCATATCATTCACTCAGGAAGATATAAAGATTAAACACAAGCATGATAGACTTCTATATTATACGGGGTATATCAGTTCTTCTAAGATCAGTCGTGTACAAGTTGATCGAGGCTTAGCACTAAGTATCATTCCATATCGAGTCATGCAAGTTCTAGGGATTCCTCTGCACCGGTTGAGCTCCACTCAGACAACCATCTTCGGCTTCAATGCCAAAAGTATACGACGCTTAGGTAAAATCAAACTTAGGTGCCAAATCAGAGATCTCAAGTCCGAAGTGACTTGTTACATCATAGATGCGGACACGTCTTATAATTTGTTGCTAGGACGACCTTGGATTCATGTGAATCGTATTGTCCCATCTACTCTTCATCAGGCCATTAAATATGCTGATGAGGAGGGAGAAGTTAGAACTCTGATTGCTGAGAAGCAACCCTTCAGGGGAGTGGAGTACTTTCACACCGACTCGATCTTTTATTTAGATTCCTAAGAGCTTGGGCAATCGAATAAGGCCACTGACAGTGGCAACGAAGCTGACATCGAGCCTAATCTTGAGGAAGATTGTCCATGAGAGTTGAAATTTGATGTAATGGGTCAGAATAAAGATAATAACAATGTACCGAGTGAAGGCGAGTGGTATATTAATGAAGATTTCAATTTGGTATACTTGTCTGATGTATCCTCTGAATATGAACAAATAGAGATTGATACAGATGCGGGTACTGATTCATGGCACATATTGCACATCGAGGCTTCCCTCACTTTGCCTCTAAAATCATCCTTCGCTGCATTCAAAGAAATGGAGGATGTGCAGGAGGCTTTCTCTATGGTCCCGTCCAAAATGAAATGGCAAAAGTTGATCAAGCGAGAGTGTTCAGAGGAAGACCGAGGAGTCCCTCAATTCCATTATCATGAACCTAACTTGATCAAATTGATGTAAAGGATGTGTTATGACTTTGGTAAATAGGAATGTTTAAATTTTGGGAAATAAAGACGAGCGCCGATTCGAATTTTCACTCTAGAAGGAAAACCTCTTGATTATTTTCATAAAACTAAAAGAGGGTTAGGTTATGTCTCAACTCCTCCTCTTTCAGTAGACGAGACCGGCAACTGCCTGTGTCAAGACCATTCATTCAGAACATTCTCATGGGAATCCGATGTAAGTGTTTGAGCAATATTTAAAAGCATGTCCATGAACATGGCTTTAGTTAGTCATCCAGTCAATGATACAGAGGATGACCAAGGATTAATCGAATCAACCAACGACCCTTGGATCAAACGCCTTAACATCTTATGGGTTATGCATTTCGAACAGCATGAACCGCCCACTGAAGATAAGGTGATCCAGGTCAACATGGGGGATGAATCTGATCCTAAGCCAAACTTCATAAGCGAGAGCTTATCACCACCAGAAAAAAAAGATCTCGTATCTCTCATCAGAGACTATATAGATGTCTTCTCTTGGAATTATGAAGACATGCCTGGTCTTGATCCCAAAGTAGCCATGCATCATCTTAACATTGATCCGGATGTGAAACCCCTTAAATAACAACAACGCCGGTTCCGTTCAGAGATCATGGAAGCAATTAAGTCGGAAGTCAAAAAGTTTATTGACTCAGGCTTTATCAGAGAGGAACAACACTCTGACTGGGTTGCTAATATCATTCCCGTGCCCAAGAAAAATGGCAAGGTCCGAATCTGTATTGACTTTCGTGACTTTAATGCTGTATGTCCGAAAGATGAGTTTCCACTCCCTACTACAGATGTTATGATCAACAATACTTGTGGGTATGAGAGGATGTCTTTTATGGACAGGTTTTTAGGATATAACCAGATTAAAATGTACCCTAAAGACGAAAGGCATACTTCTTTCAGAACACCCTTAGGGGTATATTGTTATATAGTAATTCCCTTCGGATTAAATAATGCTGATGCAACCTATCAGTGTGCCATAAATACAATCTTCCACGAACATCTACGCAAAAAGATGGAATGTTATGTGAACGATATCGCAGTAAAAAGCCAAAATAGAGGTGATCATATGGCAGATCTGAAGACGATGTTTGACATCATGCGAGCACATCAACTAAAGATGAATCCAACTAATTGTTCGTGGGAGTGTCTACCGACAACTTCCTTGGATTCATAGTTACATCCATATGGATTTCTCTTGATCCAGAATAGATTCGTGCTATCCAAGAAATGCCACCATCGAGAAATATCAAAGAGCTCAGAGACCTGCAAGGCAGATTGGCATACATTCGGAGATTTATATCGAACCTCTCAGGACGCTATCAGCCCTTCACCAAGCTGATGAAGAAAGGAGTTTTATTCGTTTAGGATAGAGATTGCCAAAAGGCATTTGAGGAGATTAAAAGATATCTCACTCAACCACCTGTTCTTGTGGCCCCGATATCAGAGAAACCTTTCCTGGAATACGTGAGAGCCATGGATCATTCTCTTAGAGCTTTATTAGCTCAGAATAATGACCAAGGACATGAGCAAGCAATCTACTACCTTAGCAGAACCATGATTGGCGCCGAACATTGGTACAATCTAGTGAAAAAGGAGTGACTTGCCTTAGTGTTTGCTATTCAGAATATGCGACACTATTTGGTTGGACAAACAATCCATGTTATTTCCAAAGTAAATCCTTTGAGGGTGCTCATGACGAAACCATCTTCTTTGAATTGTCGTCTAGCGAAATGGGCGATCCTCCTATCACAATATGACATGTAATTTATGCCACAAAAGGCTATTAAAGGTCAAGCTTTGTGGATTTCATAGCCGATCATCCAATATCTAGATCATTCAAATTATATGAAGATTTACCAGATGACATCGCCAAAGCTTGTGCAACTCAAGAAGTTATACAAGTATGAAAAATGTTCTTTGACGGTGCGTCTAGAGCAAACCCTAATGGAGGAATCACTGCTGGTGTGGGGTGGTACTTGTATCCCCAAGTGGTCACATAATACCAAGAGGATTCTCTCTAATCGAGCCATGCACCAATAATGTAGCGAAGTATAACGCTTTGCTACTAGGGATGCAGTTAGACGAAGAGCTCAACATTCGACACCTCGAGGCTTATGGGGATTCTCAGCTTATTGTGAATCAAGTCCGAGGAGAATATGAAGTACGTAATGAGGATTTAGTCCCATATCACTTCGCCGTGTTAGAGATAGCTCAGAAGTTTAAAAGTTTTCTCTAACACGGCGAAGTGATATGGGACTAAATCCTCATTACGTACTTCATATTCTCCTCAGACTTGATTCACAATAAGCTGAGAATCCCCATAAGCCTCGAGGTGTCGAATGTTGAGCTCTTCGTCTAACTGCATCCCCTATAAAAGCTACCCTATTCTCTTTAGTATATAGCTGCGAAACCGTATTACCATTGGAAATCCAGATCCCATCTCTAAGAGTCGCCCTTATGACCGGGATGATAGATGAAGAACAACATCGATTGCGTCTTCAATAACTTGAAGTATTAGACGACAGGAGACTTCAGGCTCAACAACAGATCGAGTTGTATCAAGCTCGAAACTCTAAGGCTTACAACAAGAAGGTCAAAGAACAAATCTTTAAGAAAGATGATTTGGTCTTAGCTATCAGACGACCTATGATGATGGCGCACAAGGCTAAGGGGAAGTTCAATCCTAAGTGGGAAGAACCCTTCATAATAGAATCACTCTATTCAAATGGGGCAAACCGTCTCATCAACCAGAAAGACGATAGACTCATGATGCCTATTAACAGTAAATTTCTGAAGAAATATTACCCGTAAGCCATGAAGTCCCTTCTCCTAATTCCCAGCCAAGCTTGAGATAATGAATCAACTTTCCCTAGGCTGGGGGTTGGTTATTCGTGTTTCATTTGAAAGGAGAATAATAAACCAGGTTAAACCTTCCCCAGCTTATGTATCATCAAGTTAACAATACACCTTTGACGATTGAAATTTTCTAAAGTTATTCTAAATAATAATGAAGAGAATTTCTGATTCACGCTAAGTTAACATTATACTTATTGCATTTTCAATATTCTCATTGTCCTAAATAAAAAACCAGAAGAAGACAATGAAAAGAATTATGATATCACTTTCATTTAACATTGTTAATCTGATATATAGTGACAATACTTGGCATGAAAATAATACAAAACCATAAAATTCTTATCCCCAGCTAAAAGCAATATAAGATTCAAGCACAAGGACTCATCAATTTGAAGGATTTGAGCTTGGACTTAAGTGCAGACAACTTCTTCTCATGGGCTGCTTGAACGCATTCAGCCACTTCGTTCCTGAGTTCTTCATCAGTAGGACCAGTGGTGGAAGTGGTTAGTTCAGCCTAGAGTTGATCACGCTGCTTTTGCAAAATTGTGATTTAGGTCTCTATTTCAGATAAGCTCTTGCGAAGGGCTTCTCGATGATACGCTTTTGAGATGCGAGTCAAGAAAAAGCTTGCTCTACTTCAGATTCCAAATCAACATGCTGTAAATCTACAAAGGGCCTCAATTATGCTTCTAAGAGAATAATGCTCTCCCTATAACGTTCTGTCCATTGCACGTCGCCTAAAATCTCGATGCTGTCTAGGCAGCTAGTGAAGAGAGGCTCAAAATCCTCAAAAGTAACTTGTCCAAGGCTAACAACATCGATTATTAATTTCATTGAACTCTCTAGCTGTTCGATGAGTTTCCTTAGGATTTTTGAACTCGGAGGAGGGGCAATCGGGTAGATTAAACCTATATATTCAGTGGGAGTAGATCCGGAAACAGCTTTAGAAAGAAAATTTTGCTAGCGGATCCTACCTTGTGATCATTTCATCAATAGGTCCTATCAAGGGGGCAGACTCTGAACCCCCGACACTCAACTTCCCTTCAGCTTCCACATACTCATTTAGGAGCATGACGGGTGCAGACTTCATCGTGTCCCTCATCATCTTTGCCTTATTGGGGTTTTTGGCAATAATGGGCCTCCTTTTATGAACCATTCTTTCATATTCGCCCTCCTCCTCAGCAGTAAGGGCATTTTTCCTTGACGATCTTAATGAGCGAGGTTCAAGGGTACTTCATCAAGGATTTCTTCAATCGCCTTCTCTTCACAAGGCTCGGCACCTGGTAGCTCTGCTTAGATCTCTACAACTCCGGCTACCTCCCGTTTGTAGGATAAATATTCTTCTATCCCCGGCAGGTGAGTCCTTACAGAACCTTTTCTAGATTCGTAAAGCTCTCGGATTTTGTTAATGCAGGAAGTGTATATATTATACTCCGGAATCCGAGAAGCCTCATAAAATCAGTCATGGAAATCTAAAATAGCAGAGCAGTTGGGTAGCAAGTTGGGTAAGGTGAATTGAGCATGGGTCCCTCCCGTAGAGAAGAAATACCATGCACGAGCACCCTCGTACAAATTCCCAACTTGAGCTAACTCCGGGTTAGGGTTACCAACATAAAGTTGGTCATATCCGAACTGCCTGGCAAACTGAGAAGGCATGTAAGGTTCAATGACGCACTTCTCCCTAGGCGAAAGACCAGATAACCCAATCTGATTGTGAGGAGCCACCTAAAGATGCCTTCTTCCAAAGATGAGGAGCCATCAAAAAGTATGTCCGTGAGGCTTGTGCTTTCCTCTTTAGCCCCATCAAAATTAGGAGAACAGTAGAAAATTTTATAATTGTTCCCTTGGGACAAGAGCTGTTGAGCCTTAACTATATAAGTGTTGGTCCACGTGGCCGACTCAAGCCTTTGTACAAATAGGACAGAAGGCCTGCTATCGTTGGTGATCCTAATCATCAATGAAGGGCAATCCAACATGAATCAGGCCACCAAATATGTATACGACACTAGTACATGAGGTTGGGGAGTTTTGCAAATTTTCTTCCCAGCAACATTTATCTCTTGGACGTCAATGAATTCAGAAGTCAATGTCTGTAGGCCACTCTGTATACAACCTACCATGGCAGTAAGAAGACTCATAGGCCTTCCATGGGCTAATAAAATAGCTAGGTATACTACCTCAGCTAAGATAGACTCTACTGGCTTCGATGGCACTACACAATGTTTTAGCCATATCATAAAGAAGCTAGCGAGGAGAGAAATGTCGGAGATGGGAGTTACAGCCTGGTAGTGAAAGCTCTCAAATTCAGTACTAGCCTCAAATCCATCCTCTGGATGCTTATTCTTATAGCTAGCATTAGCTGTCTTAATGCGTGCTTTAATGCTTTTGGAAGAGATGGCAGCGAGTCGGGTCACAGCTGCATCTTTTTGACTTAAATTCTGGAAAAGGTAGTTCACCCAAGCAGTGTGCATAATGCCTCCTCCACGTAGCCTGATAACTTGGGCACAAATATTAAAGTAGAACAACAACTCCTAGAAGGTTGCATAAACCTCAAGATGTGCCGCTCTCAAGATAGAGAGTTCTTCTGTAGTAGGGATAAACTCTTCATAGAGCATCTTTCCAAATGGTAGCCCTGATGCTGCTTGCATTTCATGGAGAGAGAAACCCAGCTCTCTGACGGGCATGAAGAATGTGCAGCTATCCGGATTGTATTTTTCTAACATAGCAAAGAAATTGGAATAGCTCTGAATAATCCCAAGCCGGGTGGCCAATACCGGGATTGTAAGGCCAGATTGGGCAAGTGGCTCCTTAAGGTCTTCAAGGACAAAGTCCACCAACCACCCTCTCCAAAATATATCCAGCCGGAGGATTTGAACATATGCGCAGGAAATTCACCGTAAGTAGCAATGAACTGGTGAACAAAAACATTCGCCAGAAGTGGTATCTCTTGAGCGAGATCTTTTTTCTCAAATTTGCAAGGTCTTAAGCCATTGATTTGTCCATCAATCTGTACATGAGCTCGTCGACTAGATCCAAGCGACACGTTCTCCCTTTCATTGATAAGGTCAAAAGCCAAACCCCTACAGCAACTGACGCTTAGAAAATAGGAGAGTGGATACATTCTCTTCATGCTCGGGAGAAAAAAGAAACAATTGTTGATTCTGCGTAGTAGCCTAGAATCTTCCACATGTATAAGTTTGTCATCCATCGCTATGCGATCTCCAAACAAGAATGCTGGCTTTATGAACTGGTCATGACCTGCCGATGTCTCCATATCCATGTTGGTAATCAAAATTCTAAGGGTAGAACACCTGGCTTCCCTGATCAGATATGTCCGCTCTAAGTCAGGGAAAGTGCACAGCGGAATTCTTTTCGTAAACCAAAAATCTCGTCATCATCTAGACCACTAATGTATCCAAAATGATGCTCTTAGGAAAGAGGTACATTGGGGAAAAGCACTGCAAAACAAAAAGCAAAAGTGAGTAGCTAAAATAAGTTACTGATATAGGCCCAAAAGCCTAATCTCTAACGTCGAGGTTAAGACCCACGTTTTTAATCTTAAATGCCGAGGTCAAAACCCGCGTTTCAATCTCTAACACCAAGGTCAAGACCCTCGTTTTTAATCTTAAATGCCATGGTCAAAACCCACATTTTCAATCTCTAACACCAAGGTCAAGACCCGCGTTTTTACTCTTAAATGCCGAGGTCAAAACCTACATTTTCAATCTCAAACACCAAGGTCA